TGATTTTGCCTGCTTCGAAGCGGACTTATACTTTTCATCGGAGGTATTTTTGTAACGTAGGTCATTTCTTTCATTGTTTGATTGGCTGATTTATTTAGAAATACCGGTTTAATCCGCTTTTAGCCTGCCTTATCAGGATAAACTCATTAAACAGCATCATGGTGGCATATCAAAAATAAATACGAAAGTGTACTTCTTTATTATTAAATATGTTGATTTACTTGTATGACAGAAAGTTTGTAAAGTCATATTAGATATTTACTATCACAATAATTTTTTACTTAAATTTAAATCTCGGATCATTTATCAGGTATATTTTGTCTATCTACTATTTTTCGTGCAATGCTCCACTCTAAAAAACACGTTTCATTTATTCTTAAACTGTGTCTCTCCAGTATATTTTAATTCTATAATTTTGGCAATTTCCCATACTTTGTGTATTAAATAGTCATCGTAATTTATATTAATTTATTGTAACATATATAAGTGATATTTTGGAATTGTCATAGAATAATGTATAACTTTAAGTGTTTCCTTTATGTTAAATCTAAGACTTAACTTTATATATTAATTTGTAAAAAAAATATTATTTCGGTATTATTCGGTATTATGTTCGTAACTTGTTTCAAAAGTGACATTTTATACATAATTTATAATAATAATATAGCTGGTCTTAAACATTCAAATCAAGCTTTTATTTTCATCATTGTTTTTTTAAGCTATAATTTCAATTTATAAGTATCGGTTGATCTGGATTTTTAAGAGTTATTGATACTATTCCCATATAAAGTATTTGTTAATTTAAAATTTTTCAATTACTGAATATTTATAATTATTGATAACTTATATATATGTATTATGTCACAAATAAACTACAATTATAATCATTCAAATTTGTATTAAAAAATAGTTATCATTACCTTTTATTCATAAAGCTACGCCGCAGTTTTTAAAAAGAAAAAAAAACGGTAATAATTTACCATATTGTTTACATAAAAAAGATATTGTGTAAAATTATGTATGTAGTAATGTATTATATTCATTATATTAGAAAATGTACAAATGTAATTGAGTGAATAAAGATATCTGGCTGTCATAAACGAATTAATTTCCAGATTTGTTAAGGAACATCAACAGTCAAACGACAACTAAAATAAGATATCCGTTCATGCTCAATTTGTATTGGTCATAAAAATAATTAGCTACTCGTGAATTGATACATGAAATTCATTCATTCTCGTGAGTGTTTCATTTTCATGATTAAGAAACAAAATTGGAAACGTTTATTTCATATCTTCTATGGTTTAGGAATTACGATAATGTCTGTGAATAATTTCTTGAAAAAATGACGCTTTTGTTTTCATACAAATATAGCTCATTTAACAGAAATCGTTTATCGTAGGCGCGTGCCAATGACACTTGACCACTGAGTCATTATTAATTTTAACAAACCCGTAAAATAAATCCATAAAGTTGGTTTCAAATGATCGTTTTAATATTATTCGACAGACCGATTTATAAAACGCGTTAAATGTTTACCACGCTGTATAAAAGGGATATAACTGTACACAAAAATATCCGTTACATTTCATCACGTTACTTCCCTTTAATAAGAAGTAAGACTTTAAAACTTGTTTCGCCGTTATGATGCGAACTAGTGATGAAAGTTTAAACGTCTGATTTGACACTGGGCCTTCGTAAAATAATTGCGGTCAACGGCTGGTCAATATCTCAATGTAATTTTACTGATGTCAATTTATACAAAAGTCGCCATACATTTTTCTGTTTATATTTCATGTACTAACATAATTTATATGTTATATATTAGTAATAAGCTATTTGTCCAAGTATTAAAAAAACATTTAAACGCGTCAAATCTTTAATACGCTGTATTTAACTATAACCGATGAATTGACTTATAGCATGCTCATAAAATCTGCAAACTAATTTATCTAAAGTTAAAACATTAATTCTTCGCTTTTCATTCTTGTTAATATAAATTAAAATTCAAGGTTCAAGCGTTGTACGAGCTATTTTTCCGTGAGGGTTGGCGTGTAAGCTTTAATAATTAACAACAATTAATGTTTGTACGATGTGTTTGCGCACGTAACAATGTAAAATATTAGTGACATAATTATCGGATAAACTTATAAAGTGTACGAAATATTTTCCGGTATATTATTTCCATGCTGATGAATCAACATCTTATTTGGTTCAGTGCATTAAGTTTTAAATTGAATAGCCAAGAGACTAATATCTCCGTAAACTATTATGGTCAATTTGTATTAACTGATTTAAAGCGGACGTAAAATTAATCGGGTACTTAACATTTTAACCATAATTAGGTTTGATGCACTGATGACTTTATATGCAGCTTATTACAAAGCTTGTAAAAAATAGATTCATAATAACCGGTAGACTGTTATTTTGATATTTATCTAGTAAATCGAACCAACGTCTGAAAATAGAGTGTAAAGGTTTAATTCATTTGATTTGTACATTAAGCGTTTCATTCAATGAGATAAAAATATCCGGTCATTCATTAAGGAACCCTGGAACGGTGTTTTCAATGCAATGTAAAATAAAGCTAGATCTAGCGTGTGTCTTTCCAATTAACCCTTTCAAGGGGTTAAAAAGTAATGTACTTCGTATGTTACTACGTTCTACTGAGTCAATTAGCGAAAGTTAATTTTGGACAGATTTCAATAGGCATATAACGGGTTTTAACTTAACATTTAACAGATTGGTTCCCGTTTTTGTATACATTGCTTTCAATGTATACAGAGTTATAGCTGCATTTCAGAAATTAATAGGGTTAAAGCCTTTGCTGAACAACATCCACTTCCGGATGAAACCTCGATAAAAGTAGATCCTCATTTTGCAGGATTGTCACATTTAGATCACTTTTTATTAAAATATTGTTTGCATAGTTGTCAATAGGCTTTGAAAGTTCAAAACTATGCACTTTCAGTTTAAAGAAACATTTCTAAACATGAAAGCAAAAAATATGAAAATTACTATTTCATTGATAAAAGCATTGTGTACACCTACGCTTCAAACTTCGTATCCACGCATGCGCGTGCAAGAATGAATGAATTACGACATAGAAAAGTTGTCAGACTCTGTATGAAAATATGTCCAACATCCGAAATAAATATTAAATCAAACAAGTTAACCTTATTTACTCTTAAATTTACAATTGTATATTTTTTCTATTTCAAACTGTTTTACAAAACGAGCATATACAGATATATGTCTTATTTAGTGGTATGTAACATTGTAAGCGTATGTATGAATAGAATAAAAGTTAACGTTCTTAAAATGTATTGTCTTATAATTGCATATAATAGAGCCCTATCAACATGGTGACATCGGAGGAATATGCGATTATTTGTTGCACACCTGCAGTGTGAAGTATTTCTGCCACTTAAGTGAATTATATCGCCCAAAAGCCATTTTTTCGGGAAGGGGAAGATTCGTACTCAATATTATTCGATTTGAAGATACGTACTCAATATTATTCGAACTAAGGATTCTTACTCAATATTATTCGAACTAAGCATTCGTAATCGGTATAATTCGAACTGACAATCATGACAGATTCGTTTAGACCCCCTGGACATTTAGATGTTGAAAATATTAACATATCACATAACTTTATCAAATGGAAGCGCCAAATGGAAATTTATTTGACTGCCAGTGGAAATGCTGAGAAAGATGAAAAGATACACAGGGATTTTTTGGCTTATTTTATAGCCGTTATTGGGTCTGTCATATACAAGTTAATATCCTATTACACTGTGCTGGACCTAAAGTTATAGAGATTTATGATCAATTTACGTGGGCAAACATTAACTGAAAGTGGACAAGTATTTGACAAAATAGAAAGCTATTGCAATCCTAGAAAAGATGAAGTGCTAGAATCACACATATTTTTGGTAACAAATCCAGATGAATATACATCATTTGACAGTTTTCTGACAGAGTTAAGAAAGCGTGTTGAGTCTTGTAATGTTGATACACAGAAAGAAAGAATGCTTAGAGATAAAATTGTGTTTAGTAGCAACGGAAAACAACAAGAACTGCTGTCAAGAGAGGAAAATCTGGACTTTGAAAAGGCAATCAAAATATGCCGAGCTTACAAACAATCAAATAAGCATGTGGAAGATGTTCGCAATACATATGATCAACCAATCCACAAAGTTGAGAAGACACATTCATCTAATTCTCATCCAAAACAAGAGTTGAATCGTCCTAGTCAACCGCGTCAGTATAAACCAGTGGCAAAAGAAACAACAACGTCCACATCAGATCGATCACAATGTAAATATTGTGGATACAATCACGATTTAAGAAAAGAAAAGTGTCCGGCATGGGGTAAATTATGTGAGGGATTTGGAGGCAGAAATCATTGTACGAGCAGATGTAAGAAAATACACAAAATTGAAATTGAATCATCAAGTGAAGATGAATTTTGGTCGAAATAGGCCAAAAATATAAAATTATTAAAAGCAAAAATGATTGCGAATGATTGTGAAGTTGATTTTCAAATTGATACAGGTGCAGAGATCAATACAATTAACAGAAAATATGTAAAGAAAAGTCAAAGAAATTTTTTTTTCTCTAAACTTAAGATGTGGAATAGGTCAACAGTAAGTTCAATTGGTGGAGCAAGCTTGAATATAAAAAATCCGTGCAATGGAGAAGAAGAAATTGTTAAATTTGTCATTGTTCAAGATGAATTTGAATGCCTGCTTGTATGAAGCAAAAGCTGAACCTAATAACTGTAGACACTGAAAATTTCATCGGAAAAGTTGAAAAGTATTTAGGAGATCAATGGTGAAGTAAAACTAGTTGTTGAAGAATCAGCAAGCCCAGTTGCATTACCCGTAAGGAACATTCTAATTGCTATTAAATCTGATGTGAAAGAAGAACTTGATAAGCTTGTAGAAAGAGAAATTTTGGAAAAGGACACTGAACCAACTTAGTGGGTGAATAAAATGGTCATTGTGAGAAAACAGAATGGAAAACTCGGAATTTGCATTGACCAACAATCACTAAACAAAGTGCTAATCAGAGAAAGGTACAAAATGCCTACATTTGATGATATTCTACCTGAATTGAAAGATGCTAAAACCTTTACAAAATTTGATGTGAAGGAAGCATTCTACCATATTAAACTTGACGAAGAACCAAGTATACTGACGACAATGATAACTCAATTTGGAAGGTACAGGTGGAAAAGATTACCGTTTGGACTAAGTGTCTCTAGTGAAATATTTCAAAGGAAATTTGTAGAAGCTCTGAAAGGTCTACATGGAACATTTACGATTGCAGATGATATTATTATTGTTGGCTGTGGTGAAACTTGTTATGTCTTCTACTAATCCATTGTAATCAACTCTTATTCATGATTATCAAGTTTATTCAACTGATCTGCATACATATAAGACAAAGATGACGTCGTCGACGTCAAGTAAAGCTATAATTTAACAAGTTAAGCTAGCATTAATTTATCAATATCACATTTCTCCCATATTTTAAAAGAAATAAATTTTGAAAGTATACCATACGAAAATAAAATTAAGCATTATAAAAATAAAGTTTTGTCTCTATAAGTTGTCTTCCTTTTCCTTAAATTCAAAATTTTGTAATGATCTAGAAAATTTTACCTGTTTACTTCATTCGTTCATTTTCACCTTTAATTATTCATTTATTGATCCTACTTTCGTTTTTGAAGCTTTTATTAGCGCATTAGTTGACTGGTGTCTTAGTAAATTTTCACAAGACATCAGATCAATGTCACGTATCATGCCAGATATTATTCTAGTCCGTGAGTTAAGTTGAGATCCCTATATGTTTCCATGCCAGAATATGTTGTGTCATGTGTTTTCACGACGTGTTTATCTTTCCATGTAATGTGAATAAACCCTCTTATAAGTCACTATTTATGTTGCATATCAATTTAATCCATGTTTATGAATGTTTCTGCAAGATAACCTTTACAGAAACTTGTTAAATCCTTCATATTTTAATATTTTATATTTGACCTCGTTCTGTATCTTGGAATTGACTGTGAGCAGTTGCTACTAGCAACAGTCTGAGGCGGGCTATTTGAAATCTTATTTATTGTTGTTTAAACTATCGTATTTTTGCAAAGAATGATGATTAACCCAAGAAAGAGAACCTTTGAGGTAAATGAGTGATTTATATATAAATTATGTATTTTTCCTTATATTTTTAAGTAAGATATTGATGTTTTTTATTATTAAGAGCACCTTGCACTTTGCACACAATACACATGCAGTTGTGAGTTGTGAGCCGCACATCTCACACTTGTGGGCAGTGAGTCTCACATCACAGACATGTGAACCGTGAGCCCCACATCACACATTGTGAGCTGTGAGCTCTGCTAGTACATGTATATAAACCCTGCTCACAAATTATCTTGGCTTTACACATTTTCTTATTTTTGCTCCGAACTTACGGACGTTTTCATCAGTATTTTAAACTTTAGGTGCGCTCTAGATTTTTGAAGATAATTTTTTTTCAAAAGTGATAACTTAACAACAGTTTTTCTAAATTGTTCAGAAAAGTTAAATTTACACATTATATAGTCTTTTTATTCTTGTTTATTATATAACAAAGAATTAGTACTTGGTATAAACCTTTTTAAGCTGTGTTCACTCAACTTCCCCGTCATGTTTTACGAGATTATGAAGAAATTATTTTAGTAGTACTTATAACACGACGTCGCCCGCCTGATGACCGAAATGTCCGACTGCTGCCGTCCGATTGTCACTGTGTTCGGACGGACATCGGCCGCTATTACGATTTTTTTTTTTTGGAAAAAATAGACGCCGCCCGGTGGCAGTTCGTCATTTGTGACTTAGGCATAAATCAGTTTAGTCTAGCGTTGTTAGATAATAGCTCGATTAACGCTATCTACTCGTGTATACAAAAGCTTAAATAGTTGGGAAAAGGTCTCCTTTCACTGACCAAATACATCCTATATCAAGAACCGCTATATTCTTCGTATACAGACGAAATACATATTTAATGAAATGTGTCGTGTTTATGGGAACAATGAACTTTCTTTATCATCTGTCACACGGTGGTGTAAGAAATTTCAAAGTGGTGTGTATTCAGTAAAAGATGCACCTCATGCACGCCGTCCGAAAACTGCAACTTCATCAAAATTGGTTGAACAAGTAGTGATTTGATTGCTTCTGATGCAAGATTTACAACTAGGTATATAGCTAAATGCGTTGGTATCTTTGTAAGAGCTGCTCATACAATATTCAGACTTGATTTAAAAATAAGAAGGATAAGTGCCAGATGTATACAAAAGAGCAAAACCTTATTTGGGTAAGAATCTCCTAACAATTGTTGAAACAGTTCCCTAAATACAACAATCAATCATTCGCAATTATCATCACTGGCGATGAGACAAGGTTTACTTTTAAATATGGGTAACCAAAGGGAGTCAAAGACCTTGCATAGCAAACCGCACCATGAGCGTCAGAAAAGTCATGTATGTAATTCTCTTTACCAATCAATCCTGCTATTCAATTTGCCGTACCGAATGGTAAATCTATAAATGCCAAGTTTTACAAAGGCAAGGTCCTTCAAAAATTAAAGAAATATTCAAAATCCTCAACCAGCAACTGGTCTCCTTGGTGTCAGGTGGTTGCATGACAATGCTTCTTCACACAAAGCGGCCATTGTACGAGATTATCTGAAACAGGAAAAGGTTGAGGCTTCCTCACCCTCCTTATTCGCCAGATCATGCCCCTTGTGACTTTTTCCTATTTCCGAGGCTCAAAAAACACATTGCTGGAAGAAAATATTAAACGAAACTTTGTATATCACATGGTGGTGAATATTTTGAAGGATTAAGATATATATTTTCAAATTGGCACTGTTTGTTAAGCACTTTTGAAATTTGATCCAGTTGCGTTTATATTTGAAAACCTCTCATATTTTAAGCAATTCTACTTGATAGATGATTCTCAATCATTTTAGGTAACAAATAGAAGAGTTATAACACAAAAGCTTTCAAGCAAGAAATATTCAGTTGCAACAGCAGTGATATTGTTTCTATATTTGAAGTATTGATGTAATGACTCTTTGATATACATTATTGTTCTAAGGTAAATGAATTATAGTTTCCGCCCTGTTGGGTCCAATTTTTTGTCCGGAGCATACCTCCTACACGCATGGAGGCATTAAATTAAACTTCACACAAACGCTTGTCCGACGCAAAACTTCAACATTCATAAAGGGATTTCAATATAACTTGGCACAAATGTTCACCATTGTGAGTCAAAGTATCGCGTGCAGAATTAAGGTACCTGCGGCAAGATCAAGGTCACACAGAGGGGTCAAAGTTCAGATAAAAATAATTATGTAAATTTTTTTTTGGATCATTTAGTCATCATTTATTGAGGGATTGAAAAACAAATGGTCGTTATCATAACTACTAGTGCGAAACATGTAATTTAGGTTAATATATGAAGGTCAAGGTCACTAAAGATGATAAAATATAGAAATTTTGTCAAGAGCATATCTCCTTCACGCATGGTGGGATTCTAATGTAATATCTGCATGCAGCGAAATGTTAACCACTATGAGATGCAGTGTCACGTGCATGAACCAGGTCTTTGGGTTAAAGGTTAAGGTCATACTTAAATCATTGAAAAATGCTTGGTCGGAACCGAATTTCTTCATTCATCGTGGGATTTTAATGTAACTCGGCACAAATGTTCAGCATTGTGAAGCTTATTGCGCACTTAATTCAGGTCCCTGCTACCAAAGTCAAGGCCTGATAGAGGTCAAAGTTTGTGTACGAGGATCATTTAATCATTTATTGATGGATTGTAACACAAATGATTACTATCATGTCTACACATGTGTGACATATACGTTCAGGCATTTACTACCAAATCGCAGAAACGTATATGGCACATAAAGACAGCTGTGATAAATTCGGCCGAAAATGTTCTACACGTGTGACATATAAGTTCCGTGACATATACGGTCCAGTAGAGCTATAAGCGTACCTAAATATGCAACATATTCCTGTATCTGTTGGACGTTTGAGGTTATTGCTTATCGTAATGCATACATTCCATAAATTTTCATACGACTTTAATACGTTATCAAATATCAAATTCAGATGGCATCATAAGAGAGGTTTTGCGCGCAAACTGTTGCAATAGTTTCCAAATTATTTCGGATTTTTGTACCCCCACTTTAGGGGGGGGACATTTAGATTTACCCTTGTCCGTCAGTCCTTCCGTCCGTCCGTTCTCTTTTATGTCGCACGTAACTCAAAAAGAATTTGACCTAGAGTCATGAAACTTAACAGGAATGTTGATCAGCATGTGCAGTTGTGCACCTAGGTATTTTCGTGTTGATTTATTCAGTATTTTTAGAGTTATTGCCCTTGACTTAGTAAAAATTTGCAATTTTCAACTTGTGTCGCACGTAACTCAAAAAAAAATGTTGACCAAGAGTCATGAAACTTTACAGGAATGTTGATCAGCATGTGTAGTTGTGGACCTGGGTATTTTCATGTGGATTAATTTAGTATTTTTAGAATTATTGCCCTTGACTTAGTATATATTTGCAATTTTCAACTTGTGTCGCATGTTACTCAAAAATGTTTTGACCTAGAGTTAAGAAACTTTACAGAAATGTTGATCAGCATGTGTAATTATGCACCTGGGTATTTTCGTGTCGATTTATGTAGTATTTTTATAGTTATTGCCCTTGAGTAAAATTTTGCAATTTGTAGCTTGTGTCGCATGTAACTCAAAAAGGATTTGACATAGAGTCATGAAACTTTACAGGAATAATGATCAGCATGTGTAGTTGTGCACCTGAGTATTTTCATGTGGATTTAATTAGTATATTTAGAGTTATTGCCCTTGACTTAGTAAAAATTTGCAATTTTCAACTTTTGTCGTATGTTACTCAAAAACGTTTTGACCTAGAGTCATGAAACTTTACAGGAATATTAATCAGCATGTGTAGTTTTGCACCTGGGTATTTTCGTGTGAATTTATATAGTATTTTTAGAATTATAGCCCTTGACTTAGTAAAACTTTGCAATTGTCGCATGTAACTCAAAAAGGATTTGACATACAGTCATGAAACCTTACGGGAATGTTGCTCCGCATATGTAGTTAATGCACCTTGGGTTTTGCTAGTGGATTTATCCAGTAT